TTCATAACTCCTACTTTAACACCATAAGTGTGGTTGGAGATGAAATTCAAAATGAAACCGGCATTTGTGAGTTTTCTATACAGATCTCGACCTAATCTGGTCCCCTCTACTAACTAGGACATCAAGAAAAAGTACACCATCTTGCTTTTCTAGCTTGATGGTGAATTTCGTCTTCCCATCGACTATGTTCATCAAACCGAGAAAATTCGCAAGGTTTACTTTTCCATGTTGCCAAATGGCAAAGTAGTCATTCATGTAGCGAACTAATAATTTATAAACTAAAAGTACCTCCTGAATTAAACATTCCTCAAATTGAGTCATGTAATTATTTGCTCAAATTGGTGACACGATCTCATAGCTACATCCCGTGTTCATTCGTATAGTTTACCCTTAAAGCTAAAATATGTTCAGTACATCGCTAGGCTGTTCAGTATCGTTATTGACCCTTTACCTAACCTGTTATTAAAATCTCTGCATGTTGGTATAGTGTGGATTGTAGGTCCCGTTTGGCATAATCTACATAAGTGTTAGTGTACATAGACTCAACATTAAAACCTATCATCAAATTCCTACTTTCTATCTCCTGCTCGTTGATTCAGTTAACGGATTCATAGAAATTCTTGAATGAAACCTTCCAGGTCTTGAAAATTTGCTTTAACTGCTTACAAATAAATCGTGATATTTTATGCATCACGCTTCCCTTATTATTCACTAAAATTCTAAGTGGCACTTCATCTTTATGCATTTTGGGCAGACCATATGCATTCAAAGGCCTAGAATCTCGTTGAAGAAGCGTGCTCATCTTCCACTCCTGCAGTTCGCCGTTTGTTAGACAATGCTGCAGGCAACCCCCCAGTCTAGACCTAAGGGCTTCCGTAGGATCCCTACTGATTACCTTGTATGTGGTAGTGTCATCCAAAGCCTACATCATTTTTTCTACATAGCTCAACCTATCCACAACTACCACTGCTCCTTTGTCTGCCCTCTGACCCGCTTTCCAGATCGGGCTGTTACAAGATTTTGTGTTCATGTGGTAGTGCCCATGTAGGAAAGACCTGTAGACCCATACACAAGAGGTTATCCTAACATAAAACAGCCTGCAAGGGTGTGGGGGAGGGTGAACGAGAAGTACCATTGAGCAAGAGGAGGCTTGATTAGGTTGGAATTTGGTTTTGACTTTCACATCACAGTCATTTCAAGAGCAATGCATTCACACAACATGTGTGCAATGGGACACAATTACATGAGGAAACATTGCTGGATTAAAGTCATACGTGCTTTAGGAGAGGATAAAACTGTTCGATAATAATTACACTCACTTCACACTTCATTTGTAGCCACTTAACTTATGAGCAAATATAGGGGCAAAGCATAGGACATCTAACCAAAACATGAGATGCATAGGTGGACCAAATTGGAATATAAGAAATTAGGTTTGAAGTCGGCCACCTTTCTTGGCTTCGTCTTTTTTGAATTATCCTTAACCATGGTGTCCTCCTTTGAGGATGTCCGTCACGACGGACGAAAGCTCACTAAGGATTCATTGGAGTTGCAGGGCAGTGCGCCGAGGATCTATTCGCACAAATCTGCAACCACAGCTCCAAGGCAGCCCCACCACAGCCTCCGGTGGAACCAACTCACGAATCCCTTCCACTTAGCTCTTTAAATGAAATTAAAAGAACTCCAACATGAATCTATTAAGGGATTTTCTGAAATCCAGTTTTTATGCATAACACTAGACATGTTTGATCATAGACGTGATCCGTGAAGTAGAGGCCTGACCATGAGAATTTGCTCGGTGCACATGTCGAACGGTGATAAAGGGTATCTATAGCCCTAAGTTAGTCTCCTTTCCAGCTTGAGAATCCAGACTGGAGGCCTGCTTAATGAGGCGGACTATACGTGCCATCAAAGCTGGACGCAGAGTGTAGGAAATAGCCCCTCTAGCAACACATGGTGACAATAGTCGAGTGTAATCCCTGAGCCAGGGAGGGATCATACGTCTATAAACCCTACTTAGACTAAAAATAAGTAATATAGTCTGTTTTTATAGTAAATATAACTGCTTCATCGACTATTCCACCAAAGAATGTGATATGTGAAAATGCCCGGCTTTTCTTGAAATTCACATCTGCACTTAGATCCAAGGGTACTCGTAGCGATTAATGTGTCTAGGTTACATCCTGCACTGTCATGGTTCGATTCCCACTGGGGGTGTTGAAAAGACCTTGGCGAGGTCGTAACCTCAGTCCATTCTGGATGAGAACACCTTTTGAGAAAAGGCTATGTTAAATTTAATGGAAGCGTCAGTTTTACTCATCATTGTGAGAAAATTCAACTGCCAGTCCTTTATCACCTTAAACAAAATATGGTTAAAGCATCTCAAATCTTTATTGTCTGCTTACATTTGCTCTTAATATTCCTTCTTAAATTGCTTTTCAACGTTTAGAATCTAGATTTTAGGCAAATTCATCACCGATAAATATTTAAATATATAACTTTATCTTATGTAAATGGAAGTTATCTGACCTTTGTTTAGGTTTTTTCCTACTGTACGTTTTTACGAATTATTATTTTTTCATCTCACCTTTATACACTCACCTGTACTTCTACTACTTCTAGGTGCATTTTATCTGTCTTGTTTTATATTCAATAATAACTAATGCTTGTATCTCGAGCATTCATTTTGCTTGATTCTATTTGGGTCACACTATTCTGTTTTAAATAGCAGCCCACATAGTTAAGCAGGAATTAGTGGACGCTGAAATCCATTTGCTTGCTAAGCTTGCCTTCAGAACGGTTCGATTGTCTAGCAGCCTACATTATGTGTAGCTAGCTAATGAATAAGCTTGAAAGTTCACTTATTTGTTTTATAGTAGTGAATGTGTGAAACATGCTACTTAAATATTTTATAAAGTGAAACCGATTAAAAATTAATTTCTGGTGACCTAATGCGGTCGTTTCTTTTAGATCTAAGTCCTTATCATAGCCCATTATACAGTAACTAAGATAAGGCGAAATTGTCTTTCTAACCAAATTTAATCCTTACCATTCATGATTCCATATAGTTTACTTTTAAAATCATTTTTACGATCATATTGGTCTATAGAAAGAGACACTAAATGTATTATTACCAATTATAGATTCGAGTCATCTAAAGTGATGTAAAGGCAGACATTTGAATTTCCCATATTTCAAGTTAAACTCATCTTGGGGTCATTGAATCCCACTTAGTATTACTTTCCCATAGGTGACGTTACCATTTATCCACAGCCTTTGGTGCCACTGAGTCATAGATAAGGTGGGACTTTTAAGTCAATCCAAGCCCTTAAATATGTAATTTTGATAATGAACTTGTTTACAAGGTCCATTTGTAGTTTATTACAATATATAGGTTTATTAATAGTTTCCAAACCTGCTCCTTGATTTTATTTTGAATTTCGCTAATTACTTCTTGAATGAGGAGTACTTTCATACTATCATTTATTTAGATATACAACTGATGAACTAATTTTTAATGCACTTCTTAGTAGCCAAAGGTGAGCGTTTTTACGCCAGCAATATTTGCTGACTCGCTTAATACCTTAATAATTTCTTATTTGTTTTTTTTGATTGGTTATGCTGTTTTATTTCACTTCTTGGTGCATCCTAGTTAACTCCACATAACCAACTTTTCATTCGTATACTTTACTGTTTTGTCAGGCTACGGCCGTCGGATTTACTCTTCCCAATCCAAGCTGTGATTCTGAGACGGAAAAGTTCATCCTACTTCTCAAACAACTGCATTCATTTGGTCGCTCAGAGGCAAAAGCTGCGGTATTTGGGTCTACTCTGAATTCCAAGCAGCAAATATCTGGACCTGAGGTTGGGCTTGAAACCTATAAAATGTGTAGTTTTTTAAATATATTTGCTCTGTTTATTAATCATTCTTTTTTTTCGTTAAGCAGCTGTCTACATGGCCATCTCAGGACGCTACGAATGGCGAACCATGGACCATTGCCCCAATGGACAATCCTATCTACCTTACTGGTGGTGGTCTCGATGAATTAGCTAATCATGTCAACAAATTGGATTCATTTCTTATGAATTTGGCAGTTTCACCAAGAGTGCAGACTAGTCTTAGCTCTGCTCACGAATTTCCTCAATTATTCGAACCTTCTATGTTCAAGTCAGCTATTATGGACTCTTGCGAGCACACTCCTTTGCTTAGCAAAATTAAAAGAATAAATTCTAAGACTACAGAGGAAAGGGACTCTTTAAAGAAAACGAGTCTAGCACAGTTAAAGAAAAAAATTAGGAAAAGAAAGAATAAGACTGCAAATAAGCTCAAATTACTCTCGTCTCAGAACACTTGATACTTTTTATAGTTTATTGCTTAGTTTTTTACAGTTTATTGTATAGTGATGTGCCATATGTAAAAATATTTTCCGGCTAGCCCTCATATTATTTTTTGATATTTTTATTGACAGTTTTTACAATGAATATTTCTGTACATATTTCACAATGGTGTTCTTATATTCATTCCACTATGAAAAGTTAAATGAGTGAATACTAGATTATTGCAAACTAAACAGAGCTTCCTACTATCGAAATGAGACAGGTGTGGAAAACGTTATTTTTTATGTCTGTGCGTCGGTATTCATCTTATTTTTTTATCTCCGGTTATGAACTGCAATACCTAAAATAAGCTTAATAAATTGTATCAAAAGCTTATTTAAACTGCATATATACCTTAAATTAGCTTAAGATGAAATATTAAGTGAAAAATAGTATATAAACATGGCCGCCTATTTTAAATACTTAAACCTAAAAGATATTATCATCACTTCTGGAAAAGTTGGCATCCAAACCATGGATAATGTAAAAACTTCACTGAAGGATTTAAGGAACCTTGATTACACCCCATGTGCCCTTTCGAAAAGGATTAATGCAGTGCCCCAAACATGAGGAGGAATATGTGTTCCTTACCAGCCATAATTTATTAGTCGCTTATTTACTCTCGTTTTGGAGCACATAGAGGGATGATAATTAGAGTAAATGTGGCCGCCTTTTCAAAAATAAGTGTTTTTCATAGGAAAATACTTAGAAAGTACTCCGTAATGCCTATTACGTCATTTTAACTATATTTCCTTTCTGTACTATAGTATTGGCACGAGATTCCCCAGCAGCATAATTAATATCATGAGTAAAAAGCGACCATCCTTAGCTCCGTTAACGTGATAGGAAAGAGCAATACTTTTGACCGATTCTCGGTTCAGGAATGCTG